TATATCAGAATACAAAACAAACTAAAGAATTTGTATTTCCTGTGAAAACAGTGTGAATGTTTAAAGATTTTTGCTGAATAGCTAAAACTGGCCTAAAATGTCTTTAAAATTAGCTGAAATAGATTAAATTAGCACAAAAAAATAGAAAAAAACACGTGCTCAGTTAGATAGTAAGAATCTGAAATTATCACAAAAAGGTCAATTTAGCTGAAAAAAGGCTCAGATTAGGTAAAAAGTAGCTAAAACACAAGAAACAGCTGAAATTAGCAGAAACCATCTGAAAGAAGCACATGTCAAAATTAGCAGAAGAAAAGCAGGACTATAGCTAAAAATGCAGAAAACAGCTAAAATCWGCAAAACAGAAGCTGAAAGAAGGTGAAATTAGTACAAGTATAAAAAAATTAGGATGCAGGAAACAGCTAAATATCTCAAAACATAATCTTTTGATACAYAAATTGTTGAAATAGCACAAAAATTGTGGAATGAAATGCAAAGAAGAAACAACGATCTCAATATTGTGAATGTTTTGTAAGCACTATGATTAATCTGATAAGCTTAAATCTGAACAGACTGCAGTGTTAAATTTCACAAAAACCTAAACTTGACATATATTAAAGTGATACAGTGACAAATTCTAGGATACTGTATTATTTTGGGGGGGATATTTAACAAGGGAACAATCAGTGACAACAGTGTGTAACATCTGCACCAAACTTTCCGTTAAAGCTTTACACGGAGCATGAGAGTGACCCCGGAGGACGCCGTAAGGAAATACTTATTAGTTTCCTGTTCTGTGTGACAACCCTGAACTGTGCGAGGGGGGAAAAGAGGGTCAGTGATGCGAGAGGAAAAAAAAAAACTGGAAAGGGGTGACGATCAAAGCTGACTTTGACACCGACGCCATAAAGGGAGYAGCACTCACAAGGCATTGTTTTCTACAATTATTTATTTGAAATTTATGACACTGAATTCAATTTAATTTGGAGCACATGATTCAAACTGCCTCCTTCATWATTCTTAAGTGATTTTTAAGTGAGTTTGTGTGATCAGCAGACAAACTTAAGAAAAAGAGTACAACATATGAGAACTGTCAGCAAATTTTTTTTAAATTAAAACTTAGAATGAAGAAATAAACTGCTGGTCTTTTTTTTATTTCCACTGTCCAAATGTTTGATAAATCCACTTTTAAATTCATGCTTTTAAACAACCTGAGAGCTGAATAATCCTTTAGCTTCTGGGGAGGCTTTACAATGTGGGAAATTTGACTAAACTGTAACAGGCAGAGGTTATCTGTGGTTAGTACTCCAGACAACCATGATACAGGAATCACACACACATCTGGCTTTAGGAATTCTCAGTTTTCCACCCTCTCCCCCCGCTTAAAAAAAAAGAAAAGAAAAGCTGTATTTCTGTATTTTAAACCCAGATTCCAMAGTGCACCACAGCAACTTGAAGCATGACCATAAGTAACATCATTATTATTCCCACAGCCCTGTGAGGTCGCACAGGGTTCATGTGCTTCCTTCACAGACAAGACTTTTAGGAACAATTAAAAAGAACTGTGAAAACAACATCAACAACTACAACTAATTAATCAACCAATCAATGATGTTTGACGTTTCTTACTAAACRTTTAAAGATTGCTTTTGTTGTTTTTATAAGTCAAAAATAATGGATTTTTAAGACAATGTGTTTCTGGTCTCACTTGCATTCTGGTGTAAAACTCATTATTTAGGCATAACATTTGTGCTTAAAGGCTGTAAAATAAAATAATATGATTTAAACCAGTGGTTCCCAAAGTTGGGGTCGGGACCCAAAGTGGGGTTCCGAAACATCAAGGTGGGGTCTTGAAAAGATTTTCCGAATTAATGAGATTTTTGCCTTAGTTGTTACAAAGGAGTGAGGTTAGTGTATTTAAAATGGATAAATGTA